ATGTTCGATGTCCTTGAAAATCTCTTGGTAACCATGACAGAGAGGAAGGAATGAGGGTAGAAGGTGATAAAAACTATTTCTTAGTGTCTGAGATAGACTAAGGCAATTGCTTTTTATGAAACATATCTTTCCTATCTCTATTGTATGTGAATACTATGACATATATTCGCTGAATATTCTTGACTGAAATATAAAAATATAGTCATAAATTATATAGCACTTTACAGATCAATAAATTTAAGAGCAAAATCAGTCAAATTTACTGTATGCTGATACGTCTTTCTTTTAAATTGTGAACTATTTCAAACATACTCAGAAATCAAAAAGACAATGTACTGAATTGTCCTGTACTGATTACAGATATTCAAGAGCTAACAACTTGACATATTTTTTATTCCAAATACTTACACTCTCTTCAACTTTTCTGATGGTGTGACTTGTTATCATAATAACTACTTGAATATGACTTGATTAAATCACATTTGGTGAATCAAAACAAATGGCATGCTTCCTGGAGGAATAAATTCACTAAGGCATTATCTGCAAAGCAATTGTGATTCATTAAGGTCTTGAGACTCTAATTTATTTCATTGATTTTAAAGAACAAAATATTCATATTATAGTCCCATTTAACAAATGGGTTCCTTCGTTATTCTGTGTATCTATTGCACAGTAACAATTGTGATGTGTTTCTACCTCCAACTGATTACCTACATTTGGTTTTGGCTCCCTTAAAATTTGAAGATTTCTATAGATATTCATTTATATTCATTCGTTCTTTTCAATATGCATGAATTCACTCTGAAATTTTTAGACTACATCTTTATCTACAGATTAAGTCATCTCTTATGTACAATCTGTGAGAGTGATAGGTGGATTTTGTCAAATACAATAGATTTCATCTTTTTTTTTACAGTATTAAAAATCTTAATTGAAAGGCCTAGAATGGAAATACCCGTAATTAATTATGGATTAGCCCTGTGTGCCAAAATATGCTTAAGTCCTCTACTATTCCTTCATTACTAGCTCATCTATATTCTGAGATTGAACAATAAAAGATGTTAAAAAATAAGCAACTAGTTACTGAAAGGTCACAAACAGTAAATAACTTGCTATGATTCAAATGAGTATAGGATTTTACTAAATGTTTCATCGCTTGATTTTTAAGAACAGCAAAGTCTACTGAATGATTTCCAGTGGGGTCAATAAAGCACAGACAAATCATTACTGATTACCTTAAGATAACACCAAATTTAGAATTTTGGATTAATACTGAACATTTTTGTAACCAGAAATTTTACTCTATTTCTCTATATGGACTAATTTCCTCATTTGGAACCTATTTGAAGTGAGTGGTTACTACTAGATTAAAAAAACAGGTTTATTATTTACCACCCATTGCTAGCTATGCCAGTGTCATATACAATAATATTAATTCCTTTTCATTATATTTTGCATTAACATATGAAGTGATGGATTTTACTATAGTATTTCCGTGTGTGTACTTGTTGTATGATTACAACTGCTTTAGAATATAAATTCCTACTTCTCTGAGTTGATAAGACTATAATTACTTACTGTAGAATGATAGCTCCCAAACTTTGTTGAGCCTTGTCAAGGGACATATGAGGAATATTTTTCCAAAGTTCTACCTGTACCTTTGCTCCCTAAGGCTTGGGACACAAATTGAAAGAAGTCACCAGTTAGGTCTAAATCCAAGTCTCTGCTATTGATCTACCTGCAAGAAGAGAATCACAGACTCAGATGGTATCTACAAGAGTTATAATTAAAGCCAACCTGCTATGAAATCAAAAGGGGACCACTGTGGGAAATACATGGGGACACTAAGAAGCTCTAGGACTTCTAGCGTTTCTTCAGCATCTAGAGAATTGTGCATGAACTAGCACAATGCTTAAGCAAAGGTTGTAGCTCTGTGGTGAAACACTTGCCTGGAAAATAGAAGACCCTGGCTTTAATATCAAATATGGCAAAACCCAAACAAAAGTACATTGCTTTTTTGAAAAGCTAATACATTTTGAGGTGTAAAGATAGAAGTAGCAACAATCTAGTAGTAATTATACCTAGCCTTCAAAAACTGGATTCATTCCTCTAATCTAGTTCAGTCTATTACAAAGAATTTGGGCTTTTAAAAAAAATGGGTAATTCTCAGTGCAAGGCAGTATATACACAAAATAAGTCTGGAGCATCTTTCAATAATGTAAAAAAAAAAAATGAAAAAAACTACCCAGCAATGATGGCCTTATATCCAAAGAACACACGAGCCAACTGAAAGAGCTCCCATTTCCAAATGTAAGAGATTTCAACAAAGGGAAAAAATGTAATTGTGTTGCATAATATAAATATCCATGGGTCCATACTGGTGAAAACCCATTTGACTGAATAGATAAATTGGAGAGGAGAGATAAATCTGCTAAGATAAATTGTAATTCATGCAAATATTCTGTCTTGAAGAAGAAGATAGAATATTTGCATGAATTACAAATGTGAATAATGACTTTCTTCCAAAGGTTACAGTAAGAAGCTTCGGTGATGGCATATGCCTATAATCCCAGCATTTGCAAGGCTGAGGCAGAAATTCTACAGGTTCAAGGTCAGCCTAACATGTACAGCTAGTCATCACCAATAGTCATGCCATGTTGACCATTTGTGACCTTGAAATGATGATGAGGATGGTATTTTATGTCTGTAGTCATCCTTTCCAAAAATTTTTAGCCCAGTTTACTATGAGAAAATATTAGCTAAATCTCAATGGGGGCACTCTAAAGAGTTTATTTTAAATTTTCAAACTTATCAAAAAACAAGATAACTCTGAGGGACTGCCATAGCCAAAAAATCTTTAAAAGACATGCCAACCAATCTAGGCATAGTGGTTATGTGCCTTTAACCCCAGCACTCAGGATGTAGAGGCAGGTTGATCGTTGTGAGTTCAAAGCCTGCCTGGTTTAAGTAGTAAGTTCCAAGACAGCCAGAGCTACATAGTGAGATCATATCTCAAAAGGCCAAATTAAACAAAAGAGAGAAAGAAATATAAAAACTAAATAGAATGCAATATCTGGATGATATCCTGAAACAGAAAAAAAAGGAGCTAGAAAGAAAAAATGAGGAAATAGTGAGTATGATTTCTAGTTTATAGTAATGTGTCATTGTTACATAGTTTGACTAGTTCAATGATTGTAATAAATATATCACAGTAATGGGGGTGAAGATTATATAAATACCATGATACATTTGTAATCATTCTTTTAATCTAAAGTTTATCTGAATTTATTTTAAAACAACTAGATTTGAATTATAGTGCCCCCTCCATTAGGACAAATGTCTACGAAGTATGTTCTCGTCAATAAAAAATGATTAAGTTGTGGTCTTATAGAATAGTATGTAGCACTTAACATTATATACCTACAAGGAAACAGTGGATTTTGAACTATTTATTTTAAAATTTTAATGTATAGACCTCATTTTGCTAAAAAAAGAAACATTAACAGGAATAGCTCTATTAAATACACTTACGTAATTAAGACCTGTGAAACATATGTGATGCATATAATAAACCGTTAACTTTGCTAAGAGTATGAGTCTAAAGGGAAAGGAAGGAAGGACGATCGGGAACAAATTATGGCAGAGGCAGTAAGCAATAACTAGTTCATTAATTCAGTCTAGAACCTTTGGATAGTAAGATAGAGGTTTGCAAAGAAACTCTAAATTTATACAAACAGAATACAAAAGCAAGTAACATATTGGGGGGAAAAAGTACTTTTGGTTGGCAGGCTTTAGTGGTGGTAAGGATTAATAAGGGGCCATCAGGCAAAGAGTAGTGACATTCTGGAAATTACAATGTCAGTTTTTAAAAGTGTCTGATACCTATTTCTCAGTTTTGTCAAGAGCTACACAAATAGAATCTATTGCCTATCAGTACTGTTGCTGCTGCCATGACCATGGGGATTCTTCTTGCCTTCAAAAGAAACTAACCTCTTGATTTGTTCCTCTCAGTACTGCCCTGCACGTGTGCACAGAAGTGACTCGAAGGCTTCAGGAGCTTTCTCTATTTAGACACTACTTTGTTCTCTTGGCCTTTAGAACAATGAGGACTCACCAGGGAGCTCTGAGAGCTTTTGATGAAGAAGTGACATAGCTTTACACAGGAGACAAAAATAGGAAGGGTTTGTATTTCCAAGAAGTTAAAATCAAATAGTAGAGTGCAGGTCCCCGGTGAATAAGACCAGTGATTCTCAAAATGGCAGAATTGAAAGGTGAGTTAAAGGTCATCTCAGCTCTCTACTTTAATACCTAATGCAGTCTCTGTCTGCCATGTTAGACCCCAGGTCTTAATGCTGGGCTGCAGGGAGATCATAATGTGGAGTTCCTAAGACAAGCTAATGTGCTTCTCATTGTAAATATCTGACAAGAATTAGATCTGTTAAATCATCAGCATACAGCACTCAGAACGTCACGATGACCAAGTGTATAGTGCACTTCCTGCTGAACATTTAGAGAGAGTAGAGTGAAGATCATTTTGCAAATTTTATGGATAGTACCAGTTGCTCATTTGCTGTGAGGTCTCTAGGCAGCATTTGAAGCTAATTTCCATCAACAAGAGGGGCAGCCAGACCTTGACCTAAATGATATATGGAGGTCAGGTTCAGAGCCAGGCACCAAGATCACTGAGTCAGTTGGCTCTGTGGTGAAATAATTCTTACTATAAGACCCGGGAGCAGGGATGGGTGAAGGCCGGAAAGAAATGAGTCACGCGATGTTCTAAATTAAGGAAAGACACGCAGTAAGTAAGCAGGAGTCCTGAGTTATGAGAATCTGATAAGAAGTTGGTATGTAGTTCCAATAGATCATTGGAACCGAGTTTACTGGAGGTCTTCAGCTGCTGCTAGGTAACATGAGTTATACCAGCAAACACTCCAATATAACACTCCAAAACAAAAGACTGCAAGGCGCATGGTTGCCCAATATTTTCAAATGACACTTACCTTAAAACGCAAGTGTAGAATCCGCTGTCTTGTGCCTCAGCTGAGTGAAACCATATGGAGTCTTCCTCTTTGCTCATTCTGACCTCTGAAAAGATGATAGGCTCTTCCAGATCGCCTTTGTTTTTGTACCACATGAGCCTGAGCCCAGTACTCTGGGCCATGCTATAGTTGGTGCGAATATAACTGTAGAAAAGGGCACATTTCACTCTGACAGGTTCGCCTGCCAAAGCCATGTATGTCTTGAGATCCACTGACCAGTCAATGCAGCCGTCCACTGAAAGAAAACAAGACAAGACATGAGATGCAGGGAACGTCGTTCATAATAACAGCGAGAGAAGTAATCGCTGCCATCATGCACAGGGCACATGTGTGAGTCAGAGCTTTATTGAGACGACTTTAGCCAATCCTCCCAGAGGCTATATTCGAATCCCTAGCATTTTACTCAGACATTAGCAAGCAGAGCTGCTGCACTAAGTCTGTGTCCTTAGGTATTTCCCTATCATCCCCAGCAACTTTTAGGTAGAGATTTGCTAGGTAAGCTCCTCCCCAAGGCTCTCTAGCAAGTCACACATGCCTATATGGTAGCCTCAGAGCTTCCCAGCCATGGCCTCCAGGTTCTCCCTCCAGTCGTCTGGCCTGCTAAGTAAATCGTTCCTATTAACCGGCAAAGTTTTCCTCTATGAGATCATATAAACCTAGACTGTAGCATGCTGCTGACATGGCAGTTTCAGATTTCAGATAATTCTGACTGATTTTTTTTTGGCAGAAATTTTATAAAACAAGTATGTCTAAGAGATCCCTGCCCTGACCAGGCCCAGTCCTGGAATTAACATTTGTATGCATACTTTCCAGATGATAACACTGAGATTAAGAAGACTTACCCAAGGACACAGAGCTAATAAGTGGTAGGAAACCAGTCTCTGATCGGAGACTCTATATATTCTTAACCCCTACCTTGTACTATCTATACCTATAATTGTGACAATAGTCACTATGTTATTTACTTGCTGTTGAGAAAATAATGCTGAGGTTGGAAGCACTGGGAACTTAAAGTGATTACATGCTATTATATGAAATATATACATGACATATACATAAAATGGTATATATGTATATATGCATATATATGTATATATGTCATTTTCCATGGTATGACTTATTAAAATCAGATATTTAAACATAGGTTGCTTTCTTTTTATACCCTTAGGCCTCTCTTGTTGCTCAGGTGTTAATTGCTCATGGGGATTTATTATATTAATATCAGCTTTAATCAGATAATTATGAGTGGATAAAACTAATATTAAAGAAATACAGATAGAGTAAAACTCCTTTTCCAGAAACATTAGCAATAGATGCGAAAGATAATTTAGTATGTTATTCAATACAACTAGCACAGATATTATACTTCTGAATGCCTATTGTTTCTCAAAAACTCCATCAAATGATTCTGTGTCCTTTTATATTTCCTGATTATCCTTTATAAAGCATATTATAAAAATGTGTAAATATTTCCATTCTAAAATGATGTTTTGCTTATAATTCTGTAAGCTGGTCTGTTTCCTTTTTCAGATGTTGAGAACTCTGTAACCCGGTGTGTTTAATCCTTTAACCTCAGTTGACAGGAAGCTTAGAGCTAAATGTAATGCTCAAATATAATAACTATCATACTTCAAAGTTTCACTTTCTCTATATGAAGGGTTATTGAACTAGGGTTCAAGGGCACTCAAGGGAAAGGTGCTCTAATAGGCTTTAGATTGTTGGCAAAATATGTGCCTATTCACATAGGCATACTTTTCTGGGGAGATTTTATACTACACTTCATTAGATTGTCAGAGGAGTCTATAGCCTAAGAACTCCATGGTTTCTTTTTCATAATTGTTGTGTGGTTTAGGAGGGCAAACCCATAGCCTTGTGCAAGTTAAGCAAGTATTCTGCTACTGAGTTACAACCTAAGCATGACTTCTAATCTTTTTCCAATGCCATTTTTCACTACTCTGCTTCATATGGGCTTTTATGATGAACTCCTTGAGTAGTATGTGAAGTAGCAGAATGGTAATTGGTTTTGGATTAATGAATTTGACTTAGCAAAATTATCTCAAAGTAGGTACTGTCCTGATAGGAAAAAGTTTGCTTATTCATTTCCTTCCTTAACTCCTCCAGGTTCCTCCTTTAATCTGTCTGTTATGTAACTAGATCATTGCAAGTTCAAGCTACATTTCCAATCTTAACAGACTAGTTTTGCCTATAAACTATGGGGTATGGTTGATATTGAAGGTAATAAAAATGTTTGCTCTTGAGTCACAACATCCATGCCCAAGCTCAGTTTGAGACATTTAACTGCCATTAGAATTAGCTTTCTCACATAGGCCTTGAAAGCATACTGAGAATTCATTTCTTGTTGAGTACAATCTGAAACACATGCATTTGATTTAATAGATGTATGATCCTGTTGCTTCTTCTTCCCTTGTTTTGGGCAGCAGACAGTTAGTATTTATAAATGACAGAGTCAACAGTCAGAAAACAAAAATTCAGCAACTAGGGGAAAATACAATTTCTAAATATCACCCTTTTAGTTTTTTCTACTTTCAATATTCGTAATACATGAGTGCACAATGACCTATTTTGGGAGGCCTGAAGGAGATTTCCCACAAGATAGACAAGGAATATGAAGGCCCACCTGAGACCATTTTTTTTCACCACAAACACACTAGGAGAAATCAAATTAAGGTGTTGTAGCTTTATATCTAAAGATCATTACACCACTAGTGGATTCTAAAAAGGTGGTTTGATTTGTTCTTATTGAATTTCCATTCTTAGCTGCTTACCTGCTGGAAAAGAATGGGTGGCATAGGATAAAGTACATTTATTTTAGATTTGGAACTAGTGAAAGCAACTAAAGACTATAGAATGGAGTCCAAGGTCTATACAGTCAGGTGGAATGCTAGTATTAAGGGACCAACATCTTGGTGAGGTAGGAAGCACAGTGTGATGTCGGAGGATCACAAAAATGGAACAATGGGTAAAAGGTCACACATGACTTAATTTTCAAGTGCCATCAGGAGCTACAGGTTTACGTTACATTGTTGCCACAAAGAGATGGCAATTAAACCTCCAGAAGTGTTTGCATGCTGATCAGACATGCATGTTTGGCATACAGCTGAAGAGCTGCCTCTGTGGTGCAGCAGGCAAAGGTGGAAGCCATAGGCATGAAGGTGGCGTGGAGGACCTGAGTAGTTCACAGAGGAGGCTAGCCTGCGAGCCTGACCTCATCCACGCAGCATCCGGCCCACAGAACCATCCAGACCTATTCTTATTCACAATTCCAGTGGCAGCTCTGTAAGCAGAGGCCCCCCACAGGGTTTCAGTGAAAAGTGTTTTCCATATAGACAGGATTCTCTCACAAGTGATCCCATAATGGGGTCTCTCTGATTCATTACAAGTGTGAACAGGCACACCACAGGCAGGGAAAAACTGCTTTCCCCCAAAGGTTGAAATTCTGCAGTTGGTGAACTGTATTACAGAAAAATACCTGAAAATATAAAAGGGGGTCTCCTTAGTGTCTCATCACTACCACCTAGATTCCGATCTCTAAAAGATTCACAAATTATTGCTCTTGATTTAGTCTTCTTGGCAGAAAACACTTTAATAGTTAAGCTTTCCAAAAACAATTACAATGGAACAAAGAAAGCCACTAAAAAAATTTCAGAGCTGTATTTTAATCATTTTTATTCCAATCTTTAAAAACAGGAAAACGGCTATGTAATTGAGGATCTTGGCATGAAGATTCAAAACAGGGGGCAAGCAGACTGTATACATGGGCACTGTGACTTCCAGGCAGTGTGTTTTGTCACTCCTATGAGTGAAAACAAGAGAAATCGCTAGCAATATACCCTGGGTGACACCAGCAAAACCGTTTGGCCTCTTTATAACTAAGTTTCTCACTGCCATATCTACCTTCCTTAAAAACATGGCATGGTGGGAAATGTATGAATCCTTGTAAGAGGATATGATGCCAACATTAATAACTATCAATACAATTATGAAGGGGGGAAGAATACAGAGTGTGCTTAAATTAGACTCCAGCGGCCATGTGCATTGCAATTCTTTTATAGCTGTGGTGCGAAAATGGATATACAGCTGCACATATAATTGCCAATTCTGTATTTTTACCTCAAATTTGGAATTTGCCTCAAAATTCCCATTAAATAAAATGCTTCATTGGTCCATGAGAAACTACGGAAACTCCAGAACCTTGGATAACTAGCTTTGGTGCAAACTATAGTTCCTAGCCTCCTGGTAACTCACTGTGTATGTTTAATACATACATTTTTAACCTGATTTTTTGAAAAGAGATATCAATTAACTCTATTCTCTTTATTTTTATCATCAGCCCTTGCTCTTTGTTCAAGAGGGTAGTAATTAGGGGCAATTCCATAAATTTCCACTAGAGGGAGAGCTGCCCAAGTCTTTGTGCAGCACTGAAGTTCTCCCTGCCTACTTTCTCGAACTAAGGATTTGCTAAGATGTCCAGCACTGTGCACTGGTTGTTGGGGAAGAATCACAGCACAGCTATGAGGATGCACGGCACAGCTATGAGGATGCACAGCACAGTTATGAGGATTTGCTAAGAGGTCCAGCACTGTGCACTGGTTGTTGGGGGAAGAATCACAGCACAGCTATGAGGATGCACAGCTGTGATGATAGTGGTAGCCAAAACTTAGGGATGCCGCAGAAGTTTTACTCAAAAGGGAGAAAGGAGAGTACACACAGATCAAGTGAGGAGAGGTGGAAACACGGGAATAAGGGCAAGAGAAGTCAATCCAGCTCTTAACCTTAGAATAAGTAAACACTACACTAGACGTTTATATGTTTTTCAAAGTCGTTTCTTGTGGTTTTCGTTTTGATTTTTGTTTTTTTTTCTTCTCTGATTTTATTCTCATGTCCACTCAAGAAAAAAAAAGAATTGAATATTCCCATTCTACTAATAAGAAAGCAAAAAGCTCAGAGAATTTAAAGTAACTTGTTCAAGGTCACACAAGGTGAAATGATAGTAGACACCACCTCCAAAATGCCCCCACCCTGAATGTGATAAAGTAGACTCCAGAGCTTTGGCTCTGAAAGTCTGTGTTTCATACTCTTTCATTTATACTCTTCCTCCTTGTAGCTCACAAATCCAGTAGAAAATTAAATTCTGCTTGACAGCATCTAAATTATCAAGTGTATGCCCCAGAGTCCATGCCTGTCCAGTAGAGTAGACCTTTAAAGCTGAGTCACAGTCTATGCCTGCATAAACACTACATGAATAACAGCCATCAAGTAATATATGCCAATTATTCAACTACAAATTACACAGTGCTTACAAAGGAATTAATTATTAATAATCTATTATATCATGTTCTTTCTAGGATGAGGTCAAAACCTCAGAGAAATGGTATCTAACCCCTATCAATGGATTTTGAATTAATTATCTAGAGATTATCAGCAAGTTTTACCGTTATAATTAAGTCATAAGGGTGTGTACTTAGCTTAACAGCTGTACTAATAAAATACTTATTAATACAATGCATGACCCTCACTCTTAGAATTTTAATGTGAGAATTATATGTATTCTATTTCTATCTTGGGCCACTCTGACCCCTAAAACAAAGTTTATATTTATTTATATTCATCAGAGTTGACTCTGTCTCATGTGGTCATTTCTCCAGAACAAGCAAATCAAATGCTCTGAGAATTGATTGAATTGTGCATTTATTGCTAGATCTGTTCCCATTTGCCTCTAGCCTAGACTTGTGGATAGATCTGTTCATCATTTTTTTAAATACATTTCTGTCTGGGAAAAAGAAATACTGACTTTCAAATTTTATCTGTACTGCAATATCTACCAATAGAAAGAAGATTTCCTGTTACAGCTCTATAAATGCAATGAATGATCACTGCCTGTGTTTTTGAAAGCATCATTACATTTTTTTATGAACTGGATTATATGTTCAACTTCCATGTTTTTACCCCCTACTATTCATCAATGGGAAAGTTCTGCTGAAATAAAGTCCTTCATCTCGTTTCAACCTAGTCATTATGCTTAATAATGGGCTGGCAACCATTTTAATTTCCCTGTCATTACAAGATCTGTGTGATGCTTTGTCAGGATCATCTTTTTTATTTGATCTGATGGGGAGCCTCCATGGTATTCTGGAAGTGAAATCACACTGCATCATTACAACCAACTCTTCAACTCGTGGTTCCCTGAGGCCTGATGAGTTCCTGAGGAATGGTCAGTAAGTAGCCGGAACCTCCTCAGATGCAGTGATGTTAATGCTGGAAAGAGCTAGTAAAGCATCCGTGGGAGGCAGGATATCAGCACTGCCCACCAGCCCCTCTGCCAGGCTTGCTACTGCCCACTTAAATCCAGAATATTTGGCAGAAAGCTGCTTTCCTGTGCCAGTTCAGCCCCGCCTCCCATAATCAATCATTCATGGTCATCTGAGCCAAAAATGTTGGGAGCCATCCATGAATCTTTTCTTTCCTTCGCATCAACTTTCCCCAAATCGTTACTTCCATAATATATTAAGCCTTGCCATTTCTGATGTAACTCAAGTATCTCCCCATTTCTTTACTCCCATACATACTGAAGTATAGGACATCATATTCATGTGGCTTAGTATAATATTCTTCCCTTATTGGATTTATTTAAATTGAGATACTTTTATATACTATGGTTTACAACTGATATTTTTATATTTGTGTCTACTGTTAAATGATTAATCTTTTAACTCATGTACTTCCCAGTTTTGTGATAAAAACATTTAAGATCTACCCTCAAAAATGTTTGTCTTTGTACTGTTAATAACTAAAGTTATTAAGCTATAAAATAGATCTCTTAGGCTTAATCACCCGTTTATCTGAAACATTCCACCCTTGAACCAACATTTCTTGTCCTCCTCTCTCTGCCCCTTGTATTTATCATTCTAGGTTCTTTCATCAGGCCACTTTCTTTCACATATCAAGACACAACTGCTTTTCTGGGCCTTATTTCACTTAGCATATGCTTTCTCTATTTGCCAATGCTGTTTCAGATGACAAAATAATTCTATAAATCAGAACAACACTCCATCACACATACAGATTGCATGTTTTCTTGTTCCTTCATCTGCTGACAGACACTATTTGCTCTCTGTGCTTTAACTATAGTGAAAAATGTTTAAAAAATACACATGTGCGGATATATTGATCTATAATACCCTATATATTTAATATATACTTTCCACACAAATATCCCATTGATACGTCAGTCAAACATCTCTTGATCAAATACCTAAAAATAACTTTATTTTTTATTTTTGAGGAATTTCCATTTTGTTTTTCCTAATTGCTGTATCAATTTACATAATTATCAATTGTGTACAAGGGTCCTCTTTTCCCCACATTATCGCCAGCTATTTGATAACTTTTTCTTATAAATCTCATCTTAACGTGTGTTTGATGATGTGTCATTGTGACTTTAATTTCCATTTGTCTGATGAATAGTGACATTGAGCATTACTTTATAAGCCTGTTAGTAATTTGCATGTCATCTTTTGTGACCTGTCTAATTCTCCTGTACATTTTTAATTGGAATGTTGCTCTGAGTTGAGACCACACACATATTTTCATATATGAATTCCCTACCTGCTATACAGTTTACAAATGCTTTCTCCCATTCCATGGTTTGTCTTCATCATGTTGATTGTTCACATTGTAGAAGAATTCTATTATTGTGATATCTCTATTTTTGCTTTTGTTTTATGTGCTCTTGAATATTTCTTTTGTATTCTTCTATTGTAGTCTTTCTAGATGACCTCCCAATGTTCCCATTCAGGTCTCTCAGACTCCCTGTCATTATTGGGCACTGAACAAGAAGCCTCCTCCCCGGTAGGCAAACAATCCACTAGTGAACTTTACCCCAGCCTCCAGTCTGATTTGGAAACTGTGAACATAATGAACATACTAAAGCAATGGTTCTCAACATTGCTAAAGCCATGACCCTTTAATACAGCTCCCCTTGCTGTGGTGACTTCTAACCATAAAATTATTCCCATGCTACTTCATGCTACTGTTAAGAATCATAATGTAGATACTGTGCTATCTGTATTTTTTTAACTTTTTTTATAGAGAAAAGGAGAAAAAAAAACAAATTTCCTCCTCCTCCCAGCCTCCCATTTCCCTCCCCCTCCTCCTACCCTTCTCCCCCTCCTCCCATCCTTCTCCCCCTCCTCCCACCCTTCTCCCCCTCCTCCCACCCTTCTCCCCCTCCTCCCACCCTTCTCCCCCTCCTCCCACCCTTCTCCCCCTCCCCCCACTCCTCTCCCCATCCCTCTCCAGACCAAAGAGCAGTCAGGGTTCCCTGCCCTGTGGTAAGTCCTAGGTCCTCCCCCCTCCGTCCATTTCTAGGAAGGTGAACATCCAAACTGGGTAGGCTCCCACAAAGCCAGCACATTACGTAGGTTCAAAACCCCGTGCCATTGTCCTTGGGTTCTCATCAGCCCTCATTGTTCGCCATGCTCAGAGTCCAGTTTTATCCCATGCTTTTTCAGTCACAGTCCAGCTGGATAGGGGAGCACGGAAGCACAATTCTTAGTTAAAGGAGCCACCTTAGGGTTGGCAAGAGACTTGAACCTAGAGTGGCTCCCAGATGCCCAAGCCGAGGTCCCCAGTTAGTTCCTTGGGCAGCTGAGGATAGGGAACCTGAAATGACCCTATCCTATAGCAATACTGACGAATATCTTGCATATCATCATAGAACCTTCATCTGGTGATGGATGGAGACAGAGACCCACACAGGAGCACTGGACTGAACTCCCAAGGTCCCAATGAGGAGCAGAAGGAGGGAGAACATGAGCAAAGAAGTCGGGACCACGAGGGGAGCACCCACCCACTGAGACAGTGGAGCTGATCTATTGGGAGCTCACCAAGGCCAGCTATCTGCATTTTTTTAACGGTTTTAGGCTGCCCTCGTGAAAGGGTTTTAGAGTACCAAAGGGATCGTAACCCACAGGTTGAGAACCGATGTTTCAAACCCATGGTCACACCTTTTCACATCTAACCACTTTGAGAGAGTACCTATCTGCCCATCTGTAAGCCTGGCTTCCCCTGGTTCATTTGGGACTAACTATCTTTTCAGTTCCCCTGAATAACTCTTCATACAAGCCACTCTTTAGTCAAATCATTGCCTGAGGAGGCCAAGCACATTTCTTTTCTTTTTTTAAGCTACGGCTATTCTTGCTGTGAAGAAACACCATGACCAAAAAGAAAGTTGGAAAGAAAGGGGCTTAATTTGGCTTACATGTCCACATTATCACTGAGGGACTTTAGGGCAGGAACCTGGAGGCAGAACTAATGCAGAGGCAATGGAGGAGTGCGGCTTGTTGGCTTGACCCTCCTGGCTTATTCTGCCTGCTTTCATATATGCCCAGGACCACCTCGCCAGGGGTGGTCCCACCCACAGTGGCCTGGGCCCTCTCATGGCAATCATTAATCAAGACAGTGCACCACAGACTTGCTCACAGACCAATCTGCTGGGAGCATTTTCTCAACTGAGGCTCAGTTCTCTCTGATGAATTTGTCCTTCTGCTTCCTTACACTGCATTAGTATTTGCTCCTAGCTATTGAGCTCACACATTCTCTAAGACACAGCTTTAAAGTCCATGTCTATGAAATTGTACTTGAATATTTTATGTCTATTATTTCCTCGGTGGTACTCTTACCTAATGTGTTCGTTTACATAGTTCCTTCCCAAATGAATGATGTGTGTCCCAATTCATCTATATCTCTAGGCCAAGGTTCATTGGTGCACCGAACATAGTAGGCACTTATTAAATCTTCAGGAGTTTAAAATCCTATAGCTGCCCCCTAACAAGAGTGATTTGAACTTCTTAGAAATGCCATTAGCTTCCTCCTGCTGATCCTAAACTAGAGCATCAATGTCTTTAAACTCTAATAAGGATCTTTAAGTAAAGTAGAATAGTCTCAATGTATAAAATGTGATCAAAATGATTTTGACATTAGAACACAGAAGAAGAAATGAGAATAATAAGACTATCTCTCTGCCATATCCCTGCTCCAGAACTCACTATCCCCAACTGAGTAACATAAATAACCACGTCTACATCCAGGTTCTTCCAAAGAAGCCCAGTTCTATCAAAGTAGCAGCCTACCAGAGTCCAAGAAAGAAATTTCCTGCTCTAGGTAGAATTCTATCTTCTTACTCACTCAAAACTTATCCTATTTTGTGTAAGAGCACTTACACAAGTGACTTTTGCCTACTCAGCTCTTTATTGCTTGGAACCACACGCCATACTTTTATCCTTATATGAATTTCTTCCGACAAATTCTTGCACTTCTTTGGGCTGCTAGAAATGGTTTCTTACAGCAGTTTTTATGTCACTGTCATACTCCTTTTGGTTTGATATATAGTTATCCATCTATCTATCTATCTATCTATCTATCTATCTATCTATCTATCATCCTATCTTCCTCAGTATCTTATCTCTACTCAGTACCTCCTGGACCAGATACTTAATAGCTCTTATTGAAAATACTTTTATAGATATTCTCATTCTATGAGCCCTCACACAATTTAGTGCTGCCGAAACAAAGTACATGATTTACTAATTTCATCCTAGCTGGGAGTTAACCTCTAGATTATTGAAAAATCTCTCCTAAAATATCTGTATGTACTTTCGCTCAGAGTTTAGAGAAATATGAAGGGAATGACATCTCTGTGGCTTACCTGAGTATTTGTCATGTCATTGAGGTCATCACCCTGAACTTTAAAGCCAAGGTTGGAAAAATAGTACAGAGATTACTGGATAACAGAAAGCTTGGGTTTTATCTCCATCTGCCTCTTTATTGAGATATCTAAATTGAAGAAAGTCAGTTTCTATGCTTAAAAGAAATAAAGACATTGAACTAGATAGGCTCTAACCCAACATCAAAAAACATGAATTGTCAGATTACTCGAGGTCCACGGTGAAGAAGTTTACATACTCAATTGGCAAAGCTGCCTGATGCTCTCTTTTTAATGTCTGCACTCAGTTTCAATATTATGAAAAACTAAACTTAATAATATTAAAAACTCGTATGATGTCACCATCCCAAATTAATAATGTTCACATTTTCCCACCCACTTTCAGCACCTCTATTTTATTAATGGAATAAACCATTGCCAACACAGTTAATGTTCCCTTTATCCAGAGCACACAGATCCATATTCATCTTAAACATCTGCTAGATGAACAATCACTACTTACCTAATGTGTAGAAATATATATATATATATATATATATATATATATATATATATATATGAGAAACTTGGAAAATAGCGATTGAAATCATGTCTTAAAAGATAAATATAGGAAAATCAACTTAGGTCTCCAGTATGTTTGCAGATGTGCACAGGCCTATGAGAATACTCGACAGCACTTAGCACACAATGACAAGTGAGACATTACTATCACCATGTCTGGTACTCATGCTCATCTAAATTCTGTATCTATTTTGCCCAACTCCGTCTCTTCCCACGGTATGTATCTCCTCAAATTCTTTAGCTCTGGACAGTAGCAACTTTAGGAATGATGGAAGTTTGGATGAGTGATCTTGAATGAACTAAAGAAGGAAATCCTGACAGAACAGAGAAGGCAAAGTGACAGTTTTCAGTGACTTTGAGAATGTAGTGCATTGCAAGAATATTCAGAGCGAGTCCATAGCCTAAGAGGAGGTTGAGGCTCGCGGAGCTAGTCATCCTAGGATGCTTGAGTCTGGCAGTGTGGATTATTGAGAGGTCTGCCTCCCAGAGGATCTGTTCTGGTTGCAGTAAGGAGAGTGGCAGGAATGGAGCTGAAGAGGATTTGAATATGAAATGAGTCTTTGGAGTTTGATGTTCTGGGGAAAGTCTCTTTCCTCCAGCAAATAACATTTGTGTCCCTTTCATAGGGTTATTGTCACAGCTAGATGATGGATATATGCCAAGCACATATAACAAACAGAAAATAATATCTAGTTAGCACTCATATATTAGTTGTATGAATAGTTGTAATCACAGTAGCAATATCAAATACTATTTGATTCATAACTGTATCAGTAACAATTCTTATCAGTACTAAAATTTATGATTATATTAACTAATATTAACTTTTCCATATCATCAATATTAGGAATAGTATTGGTTATTAACTAAAATATTAGTTAATATTACAAATGATAATTTATACTATTGAAAATAGTATATTATAACAGCTGTGATAATTCTGTTTACATTTGCAAGAATAAATGAACTTATTATCCTAAAAATAACTCCATAATGTGTTATAAATATTTTCATATACTTGATTGTAATTTGTTTCCCATTATCATCATATTTGCACACTCCTTTCCAGCTGACACCAACAATGGATTCGAAAACTCTCTCCCTTTGTTTTATAACTCTTTGGATGCTGTCCTTATTAACAACCTGCATATAAACTTTTCACGACAAAGAAGCAGCTGTGACTACATACATTTTTTTATCTCTTATGACATTGATTCTGATATGATGAAATAATCAGGAAATGAGAACTGAGTTAGACACCTTACTGGTGTCTTATGGCTTTCAAAGCTGTTCTTGTTGGCTTTCATAACTGCCTAAAATCATTACAATTGCTAGGCAGAACAAGCAGAACCTACCCCATCCCATCATAGCCATATCCATTGTCTTTTTTAAGAGCAACTGAAACCCTTTGCGACCAAAGGAATTTACCTGACTTCACTTCACTTATGTTACCGTTTAGGGTCTTTGGGAATCAGCAGGTTCTTGTTTGTTTGGCTTTTCTTTTTATATGCTGAGTTGTAATGTCTTATACTTGAAGAGGAACAACAAACATCCTACAGAGATCACACACACACACACACACACACACACACACACATGCATGCATATTAAGAGATTTCTTTATCTGACTAACCTGTTACCTCTATGATGAGACTAGGCATATTTAGATTTAATTAGAAAATGGGGGGAGCAGAAGTGTAGATGTACTTGGCTATTACATGGTCTTTAGTGTTTACTAAATTATGTGTTAACAAGGGCTGCTGTGACAGTTATATCTTGCTAAATGAAAGGACAGACAACTGTCTGTGTTTTGATCTGACTTTCTCATCTGTGAAATGGAGATGTTAGTCCAGTTTACTATATGGTTCTGTTGTATCTATCAAGGAGGGAGATCTGAAGTGAGGGATCATTCATTAAATTATAACAACAGGTCAGATATCATGACGGTAGGTGGCTGTGATGACTCGTTTTATGTTCCAACTTGATTAAGGCACTAATCAGTCATTCTGTCAATCTTTATTCTGGGTGTTTCTTTAAAGGTGTTTCTGGAAGAGACTGGCATCTAAATCAGTTGACTGAGTAAAATGGATTGCCATCCTTAATGTGGCTTTGTTTGGTTTCATCCAATTAGCCTAAACAGAACAAACACAAACACACACACACACACACACACACACACACACACACACACACACAGTCTAAGTACAAGAGGATTTCTTCTGCCTGACTACCTTAGAATCAGGACATCAGTTTATTTCTTGCCTTTGGACCTTAAATGAAACATGGGCTGTTTCAGTGTCTAGAGACTGCTGACTTTCAAGATATAATTTATACCATAAGTCATCCTTGGTCTCTACCTTGCTGACTGCAGATCCCATAAACTTACAAGCCTCCATAACCACATAAGCCACTTGTAAAATAAATGTCCTTATCTCTCTTGATATCTGTCATCTCTACCTGTCAATCTGTTATATCTAACAGATTATTCTCTAAATAACAGTGATACACAGTGCCTAATAAACTTCAACTCACTTAATCCTTATCAAATTCCAAGCACAAAACATCATAAGTTCTATATTTGGATGATGACACTGAAGCTCACACCCATAAAATCATGATTTCTAAAATTTTCATGTTGTTGACACAGAGAAAGGAATGTCATGTGATACTTTATTTCGGTCAGGGGATAACAATGTTCTTGCTTGAAGCAATT